TGTTACAGGCAGCCCCTGCATCGGCAAGTGTAAATAAATACAGAACTGCAAATCAGAAGAGAAGACGAGGAATTTAGCAGTGGGATCAAGTGAGACCTACTGTATGCCGATGTTAACTCTGCTTTCCACAACTGGCTGGCTGGACAGGGGGATGGGAAGGTTCTACTCAAAGATAAGGAGGAGAGGTTTGCTTCTAGAAGTTTGTGATTTCCAGTAATTGCAGAATAAAAATAATCGATAATGGGTCCTGGCATGAAATGAATCAGTTCTATCACTAGTCCCTAATGAATGGATAGGCTGAATACTCCATGATGGTGGACTGTAGTGAATGGATAGGCTGCATTCTCAGTGACGGTGGTCTGTAGTGAATGGACAGGCTGTATTCTCAGTGATGGTGGTCTGTAGGGAAAGGATAGGCTGCATTCTCAGTGACGGTGGTCTGTAGTGAATGGATAGGCTGCATTTTCAGTGACGGTGGTCTAGAGTGAATGGATAGGCTGCATTCTCAGTGACGGTGGTCTGTAGGGAAAGGATAGGCTGCATTCTCAGTGACGGTGGTCTGCAGTGAATGGATAGGCTGCATTCTCAGTGACGGTGGTCTGCAGTCAATGGATAGGCTGCATTCTCAGTGACGGTGGTCTGTAGTGAATGGATAGGCTGCATTCTCAGTGATGGTGGTCTGTAGTGAATGGATAGGCTGTATTCTCAGTGACGGTGGTCTGTAGTGAATGGACAGGCTGCATTCTCAGTGATGGTGGTCTGTAGTGACTGGATGGGCTGCATTCTCAGTGATGGTGGTCTGTAGTGAATGGATAGGCTGTATTCACAGTGATGGTAGTCTGTAGTGACTGGATAGGCTGCATTCTCAGTGTTGGTGGTCTGCAGTGAATGGATAGGCTGCATTCTCGGTCGCTCTGTAGTGAATGGATAGGCTGTATTCTCAGTGACGGTGGTCTGTAGTGAATGGACAGGCTGCATTCTCAGTGATGGTGGTCTGTAGTGACTGGATGGGCTGCATTCTCAGTGATGGTGGTCTGTAGTGAATGGATAGGCTGTATTCACAGTGATGGTAGTCTGTAGTGACTGGATAGGCTGCATTCTCAGTGATGGTGGTCTGTAGGGAAAGGATAGGCTGCATTCTCAGTGATGGTGGTCTGCAGTCAATGGATAGGCTGCATTCTCAGTGACGGTGGTCTGTAGTGAATGGATAGGCTGCATTCTCAGTGATGGTGGTCTGTAGTGAATGGATAGGCTGTATTCTCAGTGACGGTGGTCTGTAGGAAAAGGATAGGCTGCATTCTCAGTGATGGTGGTCTGTAGTGAATGGATAGGCTGCATTCTCAGTGTTGGTGGTCTGCAGTGAATGGATAGGCTGTATTCTCGGTCGCTCTGTAGTGAATGGATAGGCTGTATTCTCAGTGACGGTGGTCTGTAGTGAATGGATAGGCTGTATTCACAGTGATGGTAGTCTGTAGTGACTGGATGGGCTGCATTCTCAGTGATGGTGGTCTGTAGTGAATCGATAGGCTGCATTCTCAGTGATGGTGGTCTGTAGTGAATGGATAGGCTGTATTCTCAGTGATGGTGGTCTGTAGTGAATGGATGGGCTGCATTCTCAGTGATGGTGGTCTGTAGTGAATGGATAGGCTGTATTCTCAGTGACGGTGGTCTGTAGTGAATGGATAGGCTGTATTCTCGGTCGCTCTGTAGTGAATGGATAGGCTGCATTCTCAGTGACGGTGGTCTGTAGTGAATGGATAGGCTGCATTCTCAGTGATGGTGGTCTGTAGTGAATGGATAGGCTGTATTCTCAGTGACGGTGGTCTGTAGGAAAAGGATAGGCTGCATTCTCAGTGATGGTGGTCTGTAGTGAATGGATAGGCTGCATTCTCAGTGTTGGTGGTCTGCAGTGAATGGATAGGCTGTATTCTCGGTCGCTCTGTAGTGAATGGATAGGCTGTATTCTCAGTGACGGTGGTCTGTAGTGACTGGATGGGCTGCATTCTCAGTGATGGTGGTCTGCAGTGAATGGATGGGCTGCATTCTCAGTGATGGTGGTCTGTAGTGAATGGATAGGCTGCATTCTCAGTGATGGTGGTCTGTAGTGAATGGATAGGCTGTATTCTCAGTGATGGTGGTCTGTAGTGAATGGATGGGCTGCATTCTCAGTGATGGTGGTCTGTAGTGAATGGATAGGCTGTATTCTCAGTGACGGTGGTCTGTAGTGAATGGATAGGCTGTATTCTCGGTCGCTCTGTAGTGAATGGATAGGCTGCATTCTCGGTCGCTCTGTAGTGAATGGATAGGCTGCATTCTCGGTCGCTCTGTAGTGAATGGATAGGCTGCATTCTCGGTCGCTCTGTAGTGATTGGATAGGCTGCATTCTCAATAACACAATCCTCCAGCACAGAATGCTTCCTCTGGATGGACGCAGCGACCTTCCAATCTTCTCCTCATTTCATACGATGGACTAATCTCGCAGAATCTTCCTCCCCATGTCAGTCGCACAACGTCCATTGCGTCGGCTGAAATTATTTTCCTGACCTTTACACGCGTCAATCTTGCCTCGCGCTGACATTTCCGTTAATAGGAATCCGGAACACAAAACGGCATAAAAATAGTTCAATAGAGACGTCAGCTCCTCGCCGATCAGCAGCGAGACGCAGAACATGGAAATGCATTTATTGCTTCATTTGGGGTTTCAATGCGATTATCAGAGCGATCTGCAGCTGTAATCTCTTATTTCATAGAAAGATCACATGGAGAGACCCGGAGACTTCACACGGAAACTAAAACACGCCACCTGCCCGGGATAAATAGCCTACATGCCTGGTCATGTCATTGGGTTTATCCAATGATGTCAATGATCAGTTTTAATCAGGCACTATGCAGAATCGCAGAATCTATAGACAGACAGTACATGTGAATGTAATACATGCAATCAGAAACATTATCTTATGAGTAACATTGTTTATTATATATATATATATTACTGTATATATATTAGTGGTGCACCGAAATGAAACTTTTGGTGCTGAAACTGAAAATTCAAAATGCTCTTGGCTGAAAACCGAAACAGTTTTTTTAAAAATGAATATATATTTTTGGGAAAAAAATACACTTTAATTTAAAAAAAAAAAACACACACACACACACACAAATAAATATTTTTTTTAAATCAAAGTATTTTTTTCCCAAAAATATATATATTTATTTTTAAAATAATTTTTTTGTAAAATATGAAAGAGGATGTTACGGCGAGTAAATAGATACCCAACATGTCACGCTTTAAAATTGCGCACGCATGTGGAGTGGCGTGAAACTGCAGTACTTAAAAATCTCCATGGGTGATGCTTTCAAAATGTCTACAGGTTAGCGGTGCAACAGAGGAGGTCTAGTGCGAGAATTATTGCTCTTGCTCTGACGTTCGTGGCGACATCTCACGTGTGTGGTTTGGACACCATTTACATATGTGGGCATACATATGCGTTCACTATTACGTGTGAGCACGGGGGGACGAGGGCACATTAAACTTTTTTAAAAAAAAATTAATTTAATGGGGGTTTTTTTTTGCACTGTTCCTTTAAAAAAAAGTAATCAGTTTTATTCCTCTCACAAGAAATGCATGCATCCCTTGTGATAGAAATAAATAGTGACAGGTCCTCTTTATGGAGAGATGTGGGGTCAATGAGACATAATTAGTGACAGGCCCTCTTTATGGAGAGATATGGGGGGGGTCAATGAGAAATAATTAGTGACAGGTCCTCTTTATGGAGAGATATGGGGACAATGAGACATAATTAGTGACAGGTCCTCTTTATGGAGAGATATGGGGACAATGAGACATAATTAGTGACAAGCCCTCTTTATGGAGAGATATGGGGGGGTCAATGAGAAATAATTAGTGACAGGTCCTCTTTATGGAGAGATATGGGGACAATGAGACATAATTAGTGACGGGTCCTCTTTATGGAGAGATATGGGGTCAATGAGACATAATTAGTGACAGGTCCTCTTTATGGAGAGATATGGGGACAATGAGACATAATTAGTGACAGGTCCTCTTTATGGAGAGATATGGGGGTCAATAAGACCCCCCACATCTCTCCTCTGCAATGTAAAGCATTGGATCAAAAAAGCATTGATGTTGTGCTTTACAAAAAAACCCAGAAGTAATCAGTTTTATTCCTCTCACAAGAAATGCATGCATCCCTTGTGATAGAAATAAATAGTGACAGGTCCTCTTTATGGAGAGATGTGGGGTCAATGAGACATAATTAGTGACAGGCCCTCTTTATGGAGAGATATGGGGGGGTCAATGAGAAATAATTAGTGACAGGTCCTCTTTATGGAGAGATATGGGGACAATGAGACATAATTAGTGACAGGTCCTCTTTATGGAGAGATATGGGGACAATGAGACATAATTAGTGACAGGTCCTCTTTATGGAGAGATATGGGGACAATGAGACATAATTAGTGACAAGTCCTCTTTATGGAGAGATATGGGGTCAATGAGACATAATTAGTGACAGGTCCTCTTTATGGAGAGATATGGGGGGTCAATAAGACCCCCCACATCTCTCCTCTGCAATGTAAAGCATTGGATCAAAAAAGCATTGATGTTGTGCTTTACAAAAAAAAACCAGAAGTGACCGCTTCGGTCCTCCAAGGGCATAGAGATGAGTGGCGGCCATCTTTCCTTCACTCATCTCTATGCCCAGCATCAGGATCAATGGTTTCTCAGGTAAGGCTGAGCACTACCGAGTGGCGGCCGGTGGCGAGGGGTGGGGTTTTTTCGGCACCCGTATACAGGGTCCGGGGAGAGCGGATATAGTGAATGCAGGGTCTGGGGAGAGCGGATATAGTGAATGCGGGGTCTGGGGAGAGCAAATACAGGGATGCGGGGTCCGGGGAGAGCAGATATAGTGAATGCGGGGTCCGGGGAGAGCAGATATAGTGAATGCGGGGTCCGGGGAGAGCAGATATAGTGAATGCAGGGTCCGGGGAGAGCAGATATAGTGAATGCAGGGTCCGGGGAGAGCGGATATAGTGAATGCAGGGTCCGGGGAAACCGGATATAGTGAATGCGGGGTCCGGGGAAACCGGATATAGTGAATGCAGGGTCCGGGGAGAGCGGATATAGTGAATGCAGGGTCTGGGGAGAGCGGATATAGTAAATGCAGGGTCCGGGGAGAGCGGATATAGTGAATGCAGGGTCCGGGGAGAGCGGATATAGTGAATGCGGGGTCCGGGGGTGAGAGCGGATATAGTGAATGCGGGGTCCGGGGAGAGCGGATATAGTGAATGCGGGGTCCGGTGGGGAGAGCGGATATAGTGAATGCGGGGTCCGGGGAGAGCGGATATAGTGAATGCAGGGTCCGGGGAGAGCGGATATAGTGAATGCGGGGTCCGGGGAGAGCAGATATAGTGAATGCGGGGTCCGAGGAGAGCGGATATAGGGAATGCGGGGTCCGGGGAGAGCAGATATAGTGAATGCACGGTCCAGGGTTTAGTAACACTAACATCTAGGGTGACCAAGGGGTTAAATATGTGCCTAACTAGTAAAGTGTGCTGCTTTTTACTAATGATCTCTTTTCCTCCCCCACTGACACCAATGATGGAGCACTATTCCTCCCACTAAAACCAATCATGGGGCACTATTCCTCCCACTAAATCCAATGATGGGGCACTATTCCTCCCACTGACACCAATGATGGAGCACTATTCCTCCCACTAAAACCAATCATGGGGCACTATTCCTCCCACTGACACCAATGATGGGGCACTATTCCTCCCACTGATCCCAATGATGGGGCACTATTCCTCCCACTGATACCAATGATGGGACACTATTCCTCCCACTGACACCAATGATGGGGCACTATTCCTCCCACTGACACCAATGATGGGGCACTATTTCTCCCACTGATACCAATGATAGAACACTATTCCTCCCACTGATACCGATGATGGGACACTATTCCTCCCACTGATACCAATGATGGGGCACTATTCCTCCCACTGACACCAATGATGGGGCACTATTCCTCCCACTGACACCAATGATGGGGCACTATTCCTCCCACTGACACCAATGATGGGGCACTATTCCTCCCACTGACACCAATGATGGGGCACTATTCCCCCCACTGACACCAATGATACCAATGATGGGTCACTATTCCTCCCACTGACACCAATGATGGGGCACTATTCCTCCCACTGACACCAATGATGGGGCACTATTCCTCCCACTGACACCAATGATGGGGCACTATTCCTCCCACTGACACCAATGATGGGGCAGTATTCCTCCCACTGACACCAATGATGGGGCACTATTCCTCCCACTGACACCAATGATGGGGCACTATTCCTCCCACTAACAACAACAATGGGGCACTATTCCTCTCACTAAAACCAATGATGGGTACTATTGAATTGAAGGAGAGCAACACAGGAGAAGTGACAGGAGGAGAAGAAGCTGCTGGAGTATTTAAAGAGCCCCCGACCTATATATCTTTTCTCCAGAGGTACCCCAGGACACAGGGGGGATCCTCCACAGTACATACTCTATCCTAGGAACCACGGCTGGAAAAAGCGGGCAAAAAAAAAAAAAAAGGAGTGAACAAAGACGGGGAAGCAGCACACACGTGGCATGAAAGAGGATGTTGAGTTGCCGCAAGTTGCGGTTAAAACTCTATAAAGTACTGTCATTTTTTCAGTAAATAAGTGAATGTTGTGATTATTGTGCAGGAAGAGAAGAACATGTTTGGAGGGTCCTGGTGGTCTTGGAGGTTAGTGGGACTCTCTCTCTCTTACTCCTTGTATAACACAAAAGGACACAAAGGGACTCTTTGGGACGGTTAGTAGAAGGAAAAAGAGGGCGATCCAGGGGTCAGTAATCTGATATAGTGGAATAGCGGAAACCGTATTGTAATATCTTAAAGAAATGAAGAATAGATTGACTAAAGGGGGGGGGAGGATCTAAAACCCCCCAATCAAGTGTAAATATTAGTACTATAAGAAAGTATATGCCCCCGCAGGAGAAAAGCCCTGAGGCTCAAACCCAGGAGAATCATCATGATGGATCAAAAAAAAATATGACGGAGATTAATCCAGACTGTCATTCTGGAAACTGGAAGAGAACCAGACTAAAGACCCTATAAATAGGGAAAGTGTTATAGAGGAAGGAAACCCGGAAAGCAGCGAGGTCCTATGTCACAATCACTTTTAAAAAATGAACTGGTGGAAATGTTTGCGAAATTAGAGATGTCCATGAAAAAGGAGATCAGGACGCTTCGTACTGATCTGGGTCAGATACTAACCCAGATTGAAGAAGGAGAAAAATGGAGGGATATGTAGAACAAATTAATAAATTGGAATCGCAGGTGGAGGAGATGCGTAAAGAACAGAGAAAGTTATCCTGCACAGTAGAAGATCAGGAGAACCGCTATAGAAGAAACAGTCTAAGGATCGAGGCCTACCAGAAGAACTGGGACAGGAAGAGGATTTACAGGAGAAAAACGAGGAAAATTTGTAGTAATGGGAAGACCAGCGACAGAGAAATGGAAAATCGAAAGAGTGCACAGGATCAGACGGCCAAAAGGCGTACTGGTGGAAAGCCCCAGGGATGTGATTGTTGGATTCCTTCACTTTGGAGATAGGGAATGAATAGGGAAAGGGTTGCGGTATTTTACTGAAATAAAATATGAGGAAACAGCTTTACGTATCTTTGCAGACATCTCCCCAGAGACACTGGCTAGAAGGAGATCTTTGAAAGCTTTACTGGACCATATGAAAGAGAAAAAAGTTCGATACAAATGGGGCTGTCCAGCTTGTCTAATCGGGTGGAAAGATGGAAGATCAGCAAGGCTAGAGGTTCCCAGAAGAATTGAATGACTTTTCTGAGAAATTAGAAATAGAGAAAATAGAACTTGTAGGATGGTCAGAGGGGTTAAGAGAGAGTGGAGAGCAGGGTTCAGGAGGGAGGCAGCGGGCATCTAGGGAGAAGAAGTAGGTGGACGTGGCATGGGGGAGAGGGGCTTAGGGGGAGATCTTTTTTTTTTGCTCTCCCCCTGGTCGCTTCTCAGCTGTGCTGCGGTTCCACTGCTCCCCCTCCCTCCCCCTTTCTCCAGAGCTGGGCGAGTGGGGGAAGGGATGGCAGAAAATGGTATTGGCGGGTGATCCGGAGGTCTAGCATGCTGCCTACTCCAACCTAGGAATGACATCGGTCCAGGAGGGAGGTTGGCATGCATGTTTGGAGTTTTACCCCAATGCAGGAATCACCAGTGGGGACTTTCCACGTCAGATTCCAAGGCAATATGAAGGCTGGGAGGGTTGTGGGGATGTGGAGGTGATCAGAGGGGAGGAGGGAGGGAGAGGGAGATGGGGGATGGAAGAGGAGGATGAAGGGAGGAAGGCCACATCCTAAAATGTATATATCTGTTTTCTCCTATTGTGAAAGTTTTAGGAAAAAAATAGCTAAAATGAATGTTATGAAATGTATGACTTATAAAGTGAAAGGGCTAAACTCTCCCACTAAAAGGCATAAGATACTCAGGGAAATCCACCAACACTCCATAGACGTAGTGTTTCTCCGAGAGACACATATAACTCACAATACAAACGTGAAGATGTACTCGAAGCAATATGTAAGCTGGTATTATGCAGACTCCCCTTTTAAAAAGGCCAAAGGGGTCACGATAGGGTTGTCAAAGAACGTGAGGTTTCTACTGGAGGGAAAAAGGAGAACCCAGGAGGGCGATTTCTATTTTTGAGGGGGAAAATTACAAGGAGTTGAATACACACTGGTTAATACCTACTGACCGAACACAAATCCAGCAACATTCTTGGAGGGAGTACTAAGAGAACTTTCCGAATTTAGAAGGGGTAGTTTGATGGTGGCTGGGGACTTAAATCTGTGTATGGACACGTTACCTGGTACGAGGAGAGAGGGGGGGGGAAATTAAAATCACAGAAGAAGCTACTTTATCAAAGTCAACTGATTGACACTTGGAAAGTTAAACATCCAAAAGAAAAAGACTATACCTTCTCTCCTGCATATGGATCGTATTCAAGATTAGATTTTATAATGATCGAACATAGACAACTAGAGTCGTTGGTTGGTGCCAACATAGAGGTTATGTCCATCTCAGACCATGCCCCCGTCACGATGAGACTACAGGTGGGTGGGGATCAAGATAAAATAACAATGTGGAGATTAAACGAGATGCTTATACAAGACAACGAATTGGAAAAAAAGACTGAGGGGGATAATGGGGCAATTTTTGAGGAGGTATCAGTAATCACAGTATGGGAGGCACATAAAGCTTATATCAGAGGTATATTGATCTCGATGGGAGCAGAGAAAAAGAAAGAACGAGGGGAAAAAAATAAAGATGGTGATTGAGGAGTTCTACAAGTTAGAACGGTCACATAAAAAGAATCTGGGTACAGACGTGTATCAGAAGATAATTAGCAAAAGAGAAGAATTAAAAGAACTTATGGAACAGGAGTCGAGAAGGATATTATTGATATGATGCAATTGGGATGTATTGTTGAAGTGTATTTAATTGATGTTTCAACTTTTTGTATTAAAAAAAAAAAAAAAAAAAACTAATAAAAGATAAAATAAAAAAAACGCAAAAAAAAACCCCCAATGATGGGCACTATTCCTCCCACTAAAACAAAATGATGGGCACTATTCTTCCCATTAAAACCAATAATAGGCACTATTCCTCCCATTAAAACCAATGATGGGCACTATTCCTCCCATTAAAACCAATGATGGGCACTATTCCTCCCACCAAAACCAATGATCGGCACTACTCCTCCCACTAAAACCAATGATGGGCACTATTCCTCCCATTAAAACCAATGATGGGGCACTATTCCTCCCACTAAAACAAATGTTGGACATTATTCCTCCCACCAAAACCAATGATGGGGCACTATTCCTCCATTAAAACCAATGACAGGGGCACTATTCCTCCCACTAAAACCAATGATGGGGCACTATTCCTCCATTAAAACCAATGACAGGGGCACTATTCCTCCCACTAAAACCAATGATGGGGCACTATTCCTCCATTAAAACCAATGACGGGCACTATTCCTCCCACTGACACCAATGATGGGCACTATTCCTCCCAATAAA